AGGCTGCTGACCGGAAGGTTCAAGGTTCGAATCCAACCCTGGTTATTCAACCGCTCTTGTTTGGGCTTGGACATCCTATTGACAACTTAGCCCTCATACTCCGAGTTGCAGGGCATACGTGTGCCAAAAAGGACCCACAACCGAACGACTAGTTGGCTGTTGCTCAAGTGGCATTCGATATGTCCACCGAGGTTCACCTAATTAACGGCCAACTAACCCACCCGAACTACGCACATTTAGATACATTGCCGGGCGCTTATCATCACTGTTAGTGTGAAACTATTGCACACAAGATCCCCTGGTGTGATGTCACTCACTGTTGTATTGGCAATGGGTTTTCATCGCGTAGTATTTTGCGCGCACCTTGACTATCCTCAATATAGCAGAGCAAAGTAGTTCCACTGAAAAAAAGCTAGAAACTATGGGTGGGTAACTGACAGTTTTATTCGCAGTGATAACGACGGAACTGCCTTGCTATTCTGATTGATTGGTACAATCACCTAAGCTTGATTACACGTATGCACTCGAACTTCGTTTGTGATAAACCGTACTGCATAATGACGTAAGGAGGGATGCCTGCCGTGTCGGTCAGACTTTTGAGTCAAAGGCTCCTTTTTCGGTCTTGGCAACCGCGAAGTATCGTCCACCCTTACAGCTCTTCATCCACTGAATTGATCTGAGGTGTCTTTCAGTGCAACTGGTCAGTCCCTTGTGTGAATTTCACAGTAAACTAGATTTTTGTGTCGTCCAGATACCAGCAGGACTTCGATGTAAACTGTTGAAAAGTAGACGAAGATTTGGTAGGTTTTCAAATGTGAACATGTCATGAACAAAAAGGTACCATGGAGGTGGACTTGAGTCACTTAGCTTCTGCGTACGAAATAGGTGGTCTGCAAGCTGCGCTACGGAGGACATTTGATGTCGGCGACATTCCGGGGCTTGAATTTTCTTCCACGGTATTTTTACTCTGACTTCTCGCTTCAAAAGCTACCGATGCACTTTAAGATTCCAGTAACCTTTGCCAGGTATTATTTAGAAAGTGAATATTTATAAAAATTCCAGTGAGAGGAAGATTGTCGACTTCTTTGTTTCAAGAAAATGGTTGCAACGCAGGCCTACTGTATTAAACAATTCCTAGAGTTGGAATCTCCGCCCGCCAGGCGAACTTTTCTCTGCCCTTGCATCCCCAGACCGCAATTTTCCGATTCACCGAGCACACCATGAAGTTCCAGTTGTTGCAACCAGAGTATATTTTAGTGAAACCGGGATAACACCTGGCTGTCCAATCCCTGATTGGAGCAACCGGTATGTCAGAGGTGGACTCAAATCACGAATAGTATCTTTTTCACCGACGTTTGATCCGCGACAATCTCTTGTACGGATAGAGCCGCTTTGTGTTTTATTCCGCTTAGATTCCCGGGTGGGACATTGAACAAAGTCTTTTCGGCAATTCCTGATGGCTTGGGTTAATTTGGAATCTCGAAATGTCGTATCCTTATGGAAGGCTGATCAGAAAGCCGTGGATTACTACCTTCTTTACAGCAAATTTCATCTGATACTTCACACTCATAATCCGGTTACACATGGAATTACACCGAGAGTAGATTAAAAGTTAACTTTCTGATTTGTGTGCTAACCTGTAGAAGCGGACCCAGGGTTATGCATGTTGTTCCTGCGAATGCGCTGAAGAATTCTTAACCCTTCGTTCCTACACTACAGGAAATCAGCCTTTGGTTCAAGCGTCTCATCAAAACAACCTGTGGGATAATGTACCGCTGGGGTGACATCCTAATTACTTTCATACTTTCAGCAGCCCGCGTGATCAATGCAGCTCCCAAGCCCGACCACCGCTTCGAGATGTCAGATTTAGGTCGCTTACACTCACTAATCTCTTGGACTCCTAAACCTGCTTGACCTCAGTGCAGTTGCCACATGTGCAACTTTGCGAACACATACTACTACCGTTACATACGCATGGGTCTTATGGTGTCATTTGCAGACTGTTGCCTTCTAACGTGTTTCGAGCAACTTCAAACAGGCATGACAAAGATATACATGTATCGCAATATCTCGAATATCGTAGCGATTGAAACATGAGGCGGCCTGGTGCAGCGCATTCAGTTGCATGAGAACATCACAAACGAGGAACTCAGCTGGGTTTCAGGTGAGTCTCTCAAAAAACCAAATTAGTTAGCAAATGAGTGTATATTCGCTAATTTCGTGCAATTTGGTTTCAAGTAGAACATAAGTTTGACGGAAACCCGGGGACTACGCCTACCTGATGAGCCCCAAGAAGGGCGAAACCGGTCGTGGGCTGTCGACGGATTTCCAGCAACCTCATGAGTTAGTGCATTAAAAGACTTTAAATCATGTTACGATTGCAAAACGTACGTTCTGCCAACAAGTACCGTGTCAAAAGCTAGCATCAGTTGATTCGGACATCATATAAATGGGATCAACAGTTGTTACTCCAGTAGTTTGTGCCTTCAAATCTGGTTCGTTCGTGATCCCTAGACCCTCGAAGTGTTCTTTTGGGCGGGTCCCTCTGAATTAACGAGACCAAGGATCAAACCAGCGTTACAAACAGTCGTACTAGGAATGGTGTAATTTCAGAGTGTTTCGGCAGATAAAGAGAGGAGTGTTTTTCGAACCGGACACACCACCACGTCATACACGTTCTCTCTCTCGAGCGATGCAAGTGCACTGATGTGATGGATGTGTTAATCCCGCAATAAGTTAGTATTGTCTAACAGTTGCACCAAAGACGTTTGACCTTTCTGGCCATGAAAGAGGATCATCAATGCCATTTTATGATTTTTTGGCAGTCGTATGACTGGCAGTGTATGACTATCGTCATCGTCGAATGATGATGTTTAGCAGACATCTGACGATTCGGGCGCGGGTTTAGAGGCGCTGCACCGTTTGTACTGTCAACAAGTTGACGACAAGTTGACCTTTGAAAGATTTTTTATCGTACAGGAAAGGTCAAAGTTTGGAATTTATAAATGTAACCCAACCTGTCCGTTGCCGTAGGCAACCTTTTTCAAGGATTTCTACAGTCATTTGAATACGAGTCTAAGCAACATTATTTGGGTCCACCATTATGTCTTTTAATTAGTGCGTCTCTGTGATCGGCTGGCAGTCAAATGCCACCAGCGTGTGCGGATGTGTTAGCTCTGTGTGCGTATATTCATCATCACAGAACACCAATCGGAAGACATGATAGTAGACCCAAATGACGCTGCATTTGACTCGTGTTCAGTTGATTGTAGGAATCCTTGATAAAGATTGTCCACCGCGACAGACATCCATCACGCTGTGTTTTGACTTCAGAAGATTCCATATTATAAACCACGTGGCGCTCAATTTTTTCAACACCACTTGAGCTGAATTTGGCCCGGAATGCGGCGATCAAAGTTTCTTTGAAATAACCAAAGGGTAATGTAAGTGATGGGAGCGCTCGGAGTAGGATATGGTATGATGCTGTCTATTTTATAAAACAAAGCCAAGATCGTGAAATATCACTCCAGCTCTGTCTTCGCTCCCACTTATGGTTCCCACCTAACATTGTCCCTTTTCCGTTACGACTGTTTGGTGTGACGCAGCCACCTGAGCCTAGCTTTTTTGAAGTCACGTTCACATCAGTTTCGTTTGAATTGTGCTCCTGCTGTCCCAGCTTAATTATTCTGGCGAGTTAACACCAATAGATGGGAAGCATTTGACTAGAGCTCCCCTCTTGCTAGAGCTGATCACAGTCCATATCCTCGGTCGTAATTTGATCTCCAAACATTCGGCGTGCTAGGTCAGTGTGTTACAGCTACTCCAAGGGCCCACGCTGGTCCCGCCTGAATCAACACACGTGAGCGAACGAACTTCTTCACGAGAGAAGAGCACTCCATGGGGAATGTATTGCATATGCAGCTTCATATGGGCCCCACCAAGTACACTTGAAATTGGATCAACAATATTCTAATGAATCAAACCCATCCATCCGGCACCATGTACCGAACAGGTGAACTGCAAAAACGGTATCTCATCTATGAGAATGCATGACAAAAAGCTGTGGTTTCGTTTTAACCAGTTAATTTTTTTTGAAGCTGGAGTACTGGTATTCTATTAGAGGGAATATTATACACAAGCCTTACATATGGCACTTTGGCCAATCAGAGAATCCCGACAAGGACATATCCGTTCAATGGGCGACCCGCTATTGGATGGCATCACTACCTTCATACAGTCAAACCATAATGGTGATTTCTGTCGGACGCAGTCTTTCTTGACAGGATCGTAATAGGGAGCTCTACTATCTTCCAATTCATGCTCACTTTGACAAAGCGCATAAAGATGTAAATCACGATTGATGGTGGGAAAGTGCTCCGGTGCACAATGCAATCGGTCCCATACATTCCCATTAGGTCCAGGTTCGACCAGTCGATTGCGGCGTTTCAGATATTCCGTTTGGTGATCCGGTTTTTTTGTAAGTTTATGTTTGCTACACGCTGTGGCACAACTTTCACCAACAAACGCCCGGACCCAATAAAGACCGGTTTCTTTTGGTGGCCAGTCAAAGTAACGTGCATTATACTGATTAGGATCAGGCGATGATTGTGAGCAGGTAATCGATGTGTTGCAGAACTCCTGATGCTCTAGCAGTGCATTCAATCGTTCCAAGTAACCGGCTTCAGTGAACTCGAAAGTGCGATATCCGTTTGCCTGTAATTAGAAAAAAAAATGAGATAAAAGTGTCTGACAGATTCATTCACTTGGTAGAAACGCGTAGTTTGGCAAACCAAGTCCACCGAATAGGTGTCCATTTGGTTTTACCCTTTTGGAGCACTTCATTTCGGAAAGAGTACGCTTTTATCATGGAGTATCCAAGATCGACCTTGAAAAGTATTTCCTAAACGCATTCCACCCATGTCACTTCGGGCCTCCTTACTCTTTCGCGAAATGAAGATGTCATCAGAAATTCTAATGGCTGTTTTGTACAGCACCTCAGTAATCCAGCGGTTCTGTTCCTAATGGTGACGACAGGCATTTCAGCCCGACGATAGAGGAAGACATACATTTCGTGATAGCTTATCATCATTCTTAGTATCCCCTCACTTGTAGTGTAGAGGGTTTTTGAGAGGTACACGCACAGGTGAAACAGTCATGAGAGATGGATGAAGAACGTTAAGTCGGTGCATCCGGTTGCGGGTGTCAGTCACTCGTAGAGCACATGAATCCAGTGAGGAGATATCGTATATTCACGTGACCAAAAACAAACCAGTATTGCTCGAAAAATTGAGAACATACATCGAACAGAACCTCGTGGACCTTTTACTTTCTATTAAAATCCCATCATCAGTATTTCAGGTTCAATAAACGGCTTTTTCGCAATCAGTATATCTGGTCATGGTGCTACTCTTGCTTACCTGTGCCCACTTTCAGAGAAACAGTGTACCCCCTAACGGTGACCTGCGGAATTCAGAATCATCGCTATACTTGCTCAGGTTCGCTTTCGAACAATGAGTCAGATTGCTTTTTCAGCACCCCTCCTTCCGGCCTGTATACTAGCATACGATTACTAATCCCTTTAGTGGATCCCATCCTTCAGAAGAAGATAACCACCCTTGCTTCTCTGTTTGGGTTTCTATTTGGAGGCTATTGATTCCTTTAAATCAGTCAAAGTCTGTGATAATGGAATTTGAGGTCCTCAGAATCGCTTGTTAACCTAAGCAAGTCAAATTTACGTGAAATTGCATTTTTCTGGAATACCATTAAAAGAGACTTCTCGGAAGTACTACACTGTAGCGTTCACCCTTGTCCGTTGTCCCGGTATTCAATCCCCCATGAGATGTTTTCCTTCAAGATAGATGAAGTATCACTTTTAGTTAAAGTGGTTTCAATCGGAGTGATTGTTCTGCAGAAATTCATGTAAGGTTTTGCAATGACCAAATGAAAACAGTTAAGTTTGAACTTCTTGTATGCAGTCGATTTCGGCTACGATTTACCTAGGGAATTATCGGTAGTCTATGCTAGAGGAGGCGCCAACAGTTGACTCCTCTCGTCATCGGTATTTCAGGGTGAAGTCATCCACTGTCGTCTACTAATTATACAGTAATTAGCGTGATTGTAATGTTGTGTGTTGGTCCGTCACCAGCCATGCAGTTGGGTGGTTGTGAGCGCTCGGATTGCTACTACCACCTGAGTCGAGCTTAAAGGCACTCGATGGGCTACTTCAATCTCTATCTGGCAATAAATTGAAATACTGGTAGCTCAGGAAGCTTCAAAACTGCTGCATGTATGCTTTCAGCCTCGGCTGGCGACTGCCTGCTTCGGCCAAAATAGGATGCGGGTCTCATTGCATGACAGTGTGGCAAAGGATGGGACCAGCAGCATCTAATCACACAACCGATATCGCCGGAACCGTTGTTACGCTACTATTCTGTGAAAATATCCTACACGCAGGGACCGAACAACAGTGCACCAGGTAGACTCCGGTTCTAGAACTTCCGTGGGGGACGCTCCTTTTAGGCATGTAAGCAAATTATCACTCACTAAGGCGAATTTATCTGATTTATATTTTGGTTGAGCCACTATGGTTCGCGCAGCTGGTCTGCCAGTGAGTCTGCGTCCAACAAGATCGCATAACTACAATATACTGCCCCAAAAGATAATAGTAATGTTTCATTGTTTAGTAGACTTCAGCCAATCTGACGACTCCTTTCTCAGACATCTTAGCTTGCCAGAAATTTTGAACAGCCCAGCTACAAATCAGGCTATTTTCTACTGCCTATTTATAAACAAACTATTCAAGTACACTTGTAGACCATGGCACTCATGCTAACATCCGAACATTACAGAACAATAAGTCTTCCTTAGGCTCACTGAAATGATCGCAACCGACTGGTGACAGTCACCAAGAGCCGCACTGCTAGGAGACAGAATCTAGACCTCGATAATTTAAGTTGTATCGGTATACAAGAAATCACGTGTGCAGTGTTTTTGATGATTTCGGTCAACTTACATATTGAGGCATAGTTTCACGCTACCACGAGGAGGTTTTCGGATGCGACAGCTTTGCCGCTAAAGTATGTTTAAAGGGGTTAATTAAAGGTGGTCTCTTCTGAATGAGGAGTTTTGATTAGGAAGGCAATCACAGAAACCAAACATTGCCAACCCCATCGCCCTGCACGACACTAGGATGGCAGGATTATGGGTGGCTCATTCATACCGAGTACAGTCATTACTTTTTGAAAATTCGGTTGAAGAAAACTTACCAGTGGATTAACCAGAAGCCGCCTCATTGTCTCGCGAATCTGGTCTGGGTTATCCCTATCCAACGTATAGGAATACGGTTCCCCAATGTACTCTTCAATGTACGGGTGCTGGCTATGTAACTAATAAGGTAAACGAAAGGAAGAATACTCGCTAGATTAATGAACCAAACGATTTGTTTGAATGCGAATCGGTGGATTAGACAGCTCAAATCAAATTACCGCTAACTATATCTTGCTTCCAAGTTCGGAGGCGAGAAAAAATAGTTTCCATGAGTTGGCTTCATCACATTAGATTTTATTCATACTTATGAATCAAACCTATATGAATTCTGTTCATAGGTATTTTGTTCATCGTCGTTCGGGTACACCAATCACATCGCTCAAGTGTGAACACCTTCGCCTGTTCAGACATGAAAATTCAGATACGTCCAACGTGCGTTAGTGGAGTAGTGGTTATGCGCTCGCCTCGCATGTCGGATGTCCGGGGTTCAAATCCCGGCACGGTCACTGAGTATGCACTGATGATGAGCTCTAATAAGAGCGAAACTCGAGTTCAGTGCTTCCCTTTGGTGTGGACTCACCGGAATAATTACGTCAGAACAGGAGGACGACCGTTCAAACGATAGTGGTGTGACTATGGACAAAATACCTATCCCACAAAACCCCAAAAATATATGGATTCGTTGTCTGATCGTCACGTTGGATTGGTTCCCTCAGAGCCGGACTATAAAAATGTTATGTGAGGAAAGTGATTATCGGCACTGAATGTTGCTAGTGTTAGACAGAAATGATACCCAAGTGTGATGACCTGCCGGGCACGTTAGAATATGACAAAAGACATCAAAGAAAAGGGACGACACCGGTTAATATGGGTCACTTGCTAAAGGTCAAGCGAACAGCAAGTCAAAAGTTACGCACTTTACGTTTGGAGGAGATCGATTGTGAACCACTGCAATAACATTTGAATATACAATGTCACTATTCATGCAGATGAATAACTTGGAGCAAGATTATCGTACAACACTGGCGAAAATAAAGCTTGCTGCCTTGTCGGTGAGATCTATGTGATTAAATTTAATACCATCCATAAGGATAGCGTTCACTTCCAGTTTTAGTTTCCAACTTAGCTTGGGTTTCAAAATTGCTCTACTGTCACCTACTTCTCTGTCTGTTGGTTTTCCCGCAAAGAATGGCGTCAGGCCACGACCATGTGGTGGTTTCAGTCGCATATTGAGAAAAACTATGCCATTTGCGATGGCTTCCAAAGGTGCTGGTCCTTCATAAGGGAAACCGAGCCCGATGAGAACCTAGGTTTAAAAAACAGAACAAAGTAGAAGCAGTATTCGGGTTCTTACTGAGAGCTTTAAACGCATCAAACTGGAAATGATTAAGATACTGTTAATCCAGCTTTTATTTTTCAATTTGGCTCTGAAACCGGCCAGAAGATGTACGAAGATTCATTCTAGAACAGCAGATTACGATGGCCAGTTATGCAGTTTCTGCGACCAATATTTTTCAACCTCAGTAAAGTTTAACAAAACAAAACTAGGCAAGTAACAAGCTTTTATAGGGATTTTTCCATGCCCCTTAAAGTTAGACAGTATGTTTCGTCGGTATATGCAGACTCTTGATGCCAGGGTGTAGAAGAACAGAATAAGTATCTTAATCACCTTCTCGCCCCAAAATAGTTCAGTGATTGTAGAATGGACGTCATAACGTTGCTTCGGTGAGAACAGATGATTAAGTGGCGGCCAGTTTCGAAATGCATTCAGAAGGTCTATTGCCTAGAGATTAAGATGGACATGGGGTGGATTTTGTGGTAAAAAATTCGGAAGTCCCGTCTATTAAACTGTGGTAGATCTCTGGAGTAGACGAGGAAGATACTTTTTGAATAGTATTTTGGAGGCTACTAGGTAGAGAGGTACACCGCATTTCGGTATGCCAAATAGGACTTGAAAAGCATGCGCTACTGTGTTTCCCTGCGAGGAGACCCTTAAGTATTACAGACATCTACGCCGAAAATTACTCGCAAAGAAATTGTACCATTCCAACAAACACCTTCATTTGCACACGAATCTGGTTTTGACCAGAGTCTCAACAGAATCCAGCTGAAGTTGTCATTTTAAAGAGTTTCCAGCAACCTTATGAGTAGTCTAGACAGGGAAGTGTATTATTATCAGGAAGAGAATTCACAAGTACGGAAGTAATCCTTAGGCTGACATGCAATGTAAGCGACCTTTTTGGGATTTTGAAACAGCGCTTTGAAGGTCACTTTGGTTTTCAGGTGTGGCTTTCACCGTGACGAAAATAACCAAATAGTACCAAGCAAATAACTATTCCTGTAAGTGAAATAAGTCCACATCGGAAATCTGAGTAACATCTTACAGCTTTTTCACTCTTACTGGAAGTCATCAGCAGTGCGTACCTCGTGAATCACCTAAAAGATTCAGGACCGACGGTCTCATCGCTAAACGGCCACGAGTGGATAACCAGCAGTGTTACGCTCAACCAGACAGGACATCGCGGCACTCATGTTTAACTCATAGAAGTTACTCCACCTGTTCGTAGGCTGGCTGACGCCGATGACTGGCTAACAGGCAATAACTTTGCAGATGGACGGTTCGATCGTCTTGTGAATTACTCTTCCTACTGAGTTGCTTACAATTTGCTGATAGTGTGGGGAGGTTCTAACATCTCGGTAGAGTTTTCTTACTGTACAAGAAGTCAGTTAGTCTATCCTGAAAAGCTGAGAAGCACTGCACAACAGTTTCATCCTTTCGGGGCGTCATCAGTAGTTCGCATTGCCATTGCAACTTTGAACCGGTAGTCGAAGTAACAAAGTGTTTTGTTGGTTGCGGCTCCGATTCTGTGATTTCCTCATGATTGGTCGGATAATTTGGACACTGGTTATGACAAACTCGTATATAAGGGAAACACTTTTTCTGTGCTGGAAAATCCAGTAAAACGGTACCCTTTGTGTAGATCTTTGAAGGGAAAACTGCCTGGAATATACGGGTCAGAACCCACTACATTTTGGACATTCATAATCGAAAAGGGGCGAATCTGCTTACCTGTGATCACGTGGTGAAAAACTTGTGACATTTTTTCTAAACCCTTTGCAGTTCCATTCAGATCCTGCGAGATTTTGTCCATCTAGCTCTCTGCTGTCTAGCTTTCTTCATATTCTTCAGAGTTCGAGTTTTCAGGATATTCTTCCCGATTAATCGAACTTCTAGCAAATATGTTTCAAGAGGAATGAATCGATTCAAAACGGTGTCATCGCGAACGGAATGTTCGGGTGTGGGAAATCCAAACTAACTAAGTTGGTAAAAAGTAGGGCCAGCCGTAGCCTTTTTAGCGTACCCACCCGTCAGAGTAGAGCAGAGCCCTGTTACGATGACAGTGCACTTGCGATAACAATAACGCGTGTGACCTTACTGTATCTTACGTGATGCGCACAACAGATCCTCACTAACTGCTCTAAAACTTTACCTCCTGCTGATTTTCATTGCCACTCATAAATGCCTCACGTTTGCATCCTGTCCGCAACGTTGTGTGCTGTCGAGCTGAAGACAGCATCTCCTCCTTCTCTTCAGCTGATGCAAACTAACTCAGCGACTTATCCAAGTGGACTGTGTTCTTACGCATTCCTTTCAGTATGGCCAGAATCTGCATCTCAATGTTATCAACCCGTCACTGCATCAGGTAATCAAGTCGGTACAATCTCCACTATCTGTCGTGATCGGCTAATCCAAATTGACTGGCAACAACTGGTATCAGGCAACTAGTTCGTAGGTGAGGGGCAGTACATGTAGCTATCTCAGTGATCCTAGTGAAATTGCCCATTTCCCTGGGTCGTTGTAATGAACGAGAGGTTTAGTCGAATTTGGTCATATATGGGGAGAACACCATCATGTCAGCACCGGCGCGCTTGCACAGAATGTCTGACGGCTATGGTTGACCTGAGAGCCTCACCCATTGTTTTTCGAAAGTGAGAATAATGAACAGAAATCATTTTTCAGTGCGGTATGAGAAAATATAATGCGCTCCCTTCAGAATACAACAACAAGTACATCACAAGGAATGCCTACTTTCCAATCTGCGTTCACTACGTCCACTCATACTCCAGCCAGATGCGTCTTCTGGGCCTAGTAGTAACTCAGTTAACTTGAAAGTTATCACATCTCAGCTGCTATTGTCCAAGCAAAACCGCAACCATTTCCAGAAATGGGCTACAAGATGTATCTTGGTCAGCGGATTGAATTATACGGATCTGAGGAACAAAACTAACGAGATTATCCTAACATCATCCTAGTTCAGACGACTACTTGATAAGGTAGGTGGAAATCACTCCTTCTCTAGTTCGTTCTATCTTCAGAGTAGAAGCTAAAGGAATGGCTGAGTGAAGTGTGACCTTGTCTCTTTGCACGAGAAGGGATGTGATTGTTTACGTCTCATATCGTGCACTTTCAAGGACACCTTAACCTGTCGATCCGTCCATTTGGCTGGGTTCATGAAATGAGTTTGATATATTTGGAGGGGACTACATTTTTTATGCAGCTAATTTAGTGCGGGTTGAGTCTGACACTGTTTCTGTCAGTTGGGGGAAATTTGCATACCATGTCTGGTTTCTCCAACGTGCTTCAGAATTACTGTCATATGTGTTATTAGAGTAGTGAGTAGAGTGGCGTGAGTAGATTATCGTTCTGCAAGCAACATTTCCAGTAGGCAATAAATTCAGCAACCCTGAGAAATGAGGCTCGTTTGGAAATACAGTATACTTAGTCTTATCATAGAGAACCGCAGCTGGTATGCTCATACAGCCTTCAAAGTAGGATCCAGTTATAGCATCAACAAGCAAAAGGGTATTATCTTTTATTGCATGCGTTGTGACAAACATCATGATTTATCTGTTTCATGGCTTCTAAACCAGTGATAATTTCTGGCGTCAGCTGTAGGTGGTCGATAATTAACTCCACAATATTGCATTGCCACATATATGATTGACACAGAAAGCTCTTGAACTCCACGCGTTATCCCATGTCGTAGCGTGGAACAAACAGCCATTAATAAAAAAAAACCTTTCAGGTTAAGTGATTACTCGGTTCACATGCGTCTGAGCATACTCTAAGACTCTTTTTGTACTTTTCTCAAACTCTACATCCAGGTGACGTTAAACCATTGCGCTACTGACGGAGACAGCTTTAGCAATCCCTGGCTCTCAAAAACCCTAAGTTTAATGGAGCTATAGCTAATACCCATCTGGGGATGGAATATAGTCTCCTACCTGAATGAAATTCAACCAACATTTTTAAAATAAACATCACTCAAAATCCTGATCATCTGATATTATTGAAGTCATTATAAAGCTCACATGACTGGAACTTAACAGCCGAGAAATGACAAAATGTTGTTCATCCGACGTTTCAGGATTCAAATTCTTACCTGGACAGAATTCAGCAAATCTAAGTAGTCGTATCCGTAAGCCATTTTATGATTTGTCACAAATGCTGGTAAATTTGAACTGTCCCCATCGGCCACGTTTCCGTGAATTTCCAGGAATTCTGACAGGATTTCGAGGTATGGCGTTAAACCCTAAAAAATCAATAGTTGAGGATAAAATTGCAGGACGTGATACACTACACATGAGATTGCCGAAAACACTTTGATAGCCCACGACCGGTTTCACCATTCTTTGAGCTCATCGGGTAGGTGCAATCCCTGAGTTTCCGTCAACCCTATGTTCTATTTGAACCAATGTTGCACTAAGTAAGATGTACCCGCTTGCATAATAATTTGGTTCTGACGACAGACTCATTCGGAACTAGGCTGAATCTCCCGTTTACGGGGATTTTTACTAACTGAATATGCTGCACCAGGCCACCTCATGGTTCAGTACGTACGATATCCGAGATATCGGGATACATGTATAGACGTGATACTCTACTCATAAGGTTGCTGAAAACTCCCCTACAGCACACGACCAGTTCACCCTTCTTGGGGCTCATCAGGCAGGCGCAGTACCCTAGGTTCCACCAACCTTATGTTCGACTTGGACCCAAATTGCACGAAATCAGCTTAAAAACCTTATAAAGGAAAGATTCCGCTGGGTTTCAGGTGGGTCTAACGCCCAGACTTAATTGGTGTGCGACTAAGTATATTTCGTTTAAGAGTTTAGAGTTCCCTTAAAATTCTCATGAGTATTATTGTTAGGGAATATCCACATCTAATCTGATTTGATTTAGGTAGATCGAGTCATACATGGAAAATTTAGTTTGGTCGAATTATGATGGTAAAACAACGTTAAAATGCCAAGGACTATTGCTCGATGTTTCGGCTAGTGCGGGTGACCTTCAGAAGTACGAAAACCAAGAGAAAAAGCCGAATCGATAGATACTATCAAATGGACGTCAGTTGATTTGTCGAGGTGACACATCCGAGGTATGAGGGTTGAGTCAACGCATCGAGCCTCTTGACGATCTGATTATTGCTTAGACCTGTTTAGGCAGCTAACATGGGTTGGGCGTGAAGCACCAGAGATTCTGCATCGCATGTATTCATGGTTTGGTTTGAATCATGCGAACCTGATCTCCGTTTTTGCTTGCAGGACATCGGCCGAATCGGTTTCTTTCTTTTTAGGGCGATCTTGGTTAGACAGAACAAGCAGATTTCTTGTTTTTGGCCATGCACACCTTCAGCTGTCTACCCGTCTCTCCCCAACTGGTTGCATTACTGTCCCAGCAACATGTATTATATACACGCACGACAAACGGGATTCCTATGGTGGAGCAGCTACCCTTTCATTGCATTCTCTGTTGTGAAAACACTGAGCATGCTGGAGTAAACTAAAACCGTACGAAGATGGGGAATCTTCTGACGGTAGAGCATCTGCACAGTAGAGATTTTCAGATTTTCAAATCGCTTATGACTCACCTGGTGCCTTCGTTGAAAACATTGTTAGATACTTGTTTTGATGCAATATCACTTTTACAATCGTCAGTGACTGCAAAACACTCTACTTCGTATTCACGGGAGTAAGTTGGCCTTCGCCATTTGGACCAATCAAAACCCGACTGCTTGACAACGACTTGCGGGTCCCCACCAACTTTCAGTTTTGAGGATCAGGTTTATACTATTTGAGGTACACCAGTGGACCACTAGAAAACTCACTTCACATGATTACGAATGTGTCACTGACATATGGCCACCAAGTTCACAGGGGGTAGCAGAAATTCTCGGACACTTGTTTTTCTAAATTTCCAGCACATTCCGTTGTAGAATATCATAAACGAGAGATCCAGTTGAGTCTCTCGTGAAAACCAAATTGATTTGCAAATGAGTGTATTTCTCGAAAACAGTCCAAATTGGGTTTAAGTAGAACATAAGGTTGACGGAAACTCGGGGACTGCGCCTACCTGATGAGCCCCAAGAAGGGTCCTGGGCTGTCAAAGAGTTTTCAGCAACCTCGTGCGTAGTTTTCTTTATTCCAATAAAAATGTTTACCACAGTTGGTCCAGTCAAGGTACTTTACCCGCTTGTACCAAGCCCTTTTAAGTGCAGAAAAATCTGAATAGGAAGCAGAATTTGCTTTCTGGCACAATCTCATTGGGCGCAAGGGTAACCACCAGGTCAAAGATACACCACAGTCAAGGAGACTTAAATATATGGGTAAGAGGTGTTCAAGGGATTCTGAACATGTTTATGAGGCACATCCGTCGTTGATTCAGTGCATACAAATTCTGATCTGATAATCGATGGCTCCCTGTGAGGTACCCAAGTAGTCAGCACCACAAACAAAAAATGGCTCCGCGGTATCACTCCATGCATAGCTGTCACGTAACTCAAAGGGGCCCAAAGGCTGAAATACGGTAAGCCTGTATGTTTTAATATCGTCTGAAAATCACTCCTTTCTAGGTGCGGTCAATCAAGATAGTGGCCTAGAAACGTAAAAGTGCCTTCTATATGTAGCAGATTTGCACCTGGTTGTCGGGAACGAGACCAAGCAATTGCTGGACACGTTCTGGACTCCTAGTCACAAAGCTCTAATTCGAAGAGCTGTCTATGGAAAAAAAATGTTGTCCAGCAATAATAATAATAAAACAATGCGAATAAAGAAAGTGGCATTGTAGTAGCTGAAGTCACGCTTGAAAATGTGTTTACAGTGTGATCTTTTGTTCAGAATGCGGATAGAAATCCCGGCTGAAAGATCACTTTTTGCATTATGTTACTTTGTCCAGTTTTTTCTGGGCGAACTGAAGCAAGGGTAGCGATAGAAGAGTGCAACTCAATCAGTACTACACAACAAATAGTTCGGTGATTGTTCCAGGACGTTTGATCTTTGAGCCTGTCTTTAAAGTATCAATCACGCAAACTCATTGAAAGCATGTGAGGCATAATGACAAGGCTATTGAAGTGACCCGTTGGGATTCCTCCCTCGTCAAGTTAAAAAAGGATAAACTTTTCTAAAGTTATCTATTCCATTCACTTACCTTCCACATATAGGCAGCTTTTCCAGCAACAAGTCCAAGGGGTTTTCCCGATGTCGGCTGGATCACCCTCTGTAGGGCACGTGGTGGTTTCTCAACCACAAAGCCGAGGAACGTGTTATCAGGCGAGTGGGCTGAAATTTAAGTGCAGTGCGAATATCGATCAGTTTAATATGTCTAGAAAGAAAT